CTTATTATTTCAGAAGCTGTATTCAAAAAATCGTCTAACCGCATCCAGGAAAGCATAAAGGTAGTAATCCATGAAAACTAAGAGAACAGTAACAAATGTTGCAATGAACCATGTCATCAGCGCAAACTTGGCTCGATTCAGCTCTCCTCTCGTTGGTGAGCTGAAATGTTGGGGGAATAATTTTTTCAAATTTTGAAATTTTTGAAGATTTTATCAGAATGTGCGAAAGAATAAGAGTGCCAAATAAACTTAATTCACGTATTGTTTTCGCATTATATAAATAAAATTTAGAGAATATGTTAAAGAATTGGCGACAGCATACATTCTTTGAAATAATGTAGAAGTATAATGTATAATAAACATTGTATCTGGTTTTCAACCTGCTTCTAGTTCACCTATGCTTTAGACTTGAGCTCTTCACCATCAAAGAGTGGAATAATACTATCGTTTCAAAAAGGCTACGAAAAAGCGGAATGCTGGAAGTTTATTACTTGGTGTTAGACTCAACACTAGAACGACCCTTCAACAAGAAATTGATACAACCGGCGATTGAAGATTTTGATCGCTCAGTTTTTTCCAATCATTTCACTTTTTGAAAAAAGTAGCACTTTCTTTTTTTTGCAACCCTCTATCCTATTTTTCCAACCCAATAACAGTGTCGACTAGTGCACCTAAATAATTTCAAAAGCTTCCACTCCCTCATTTCAGCTGTTGAGATGTAGCGAATTGCCTGCTGACCCAGCAGTTCGCGATGATGGTCAATTTGCCAGAATACACTGCAAACACATATTAAATATTCAGTGATAGATGGTAATTCATTTTAAACTTTGACAAGTTCAACAAGAGATCACCTAGTGATGAAGCAATTATTGAAGTCCACATTTGTTTTGTAATTCTCAATCATTTTAACAGCGTCTCGAAATATTATGTAGACGTAAAAGATAAACAAGGCTTGTATGACCTTGGAAAATGTTTTCAAAACTACCTGCAATTTTAAAAACTTTGATTCTGAAAAAAAATATTCCAAAGAGATGTCGCTAACCTTTACATAATTCGCGCCCATAGAAACAAACATTTTCATTTCAGTAACTCTGAACACATTTTCTAGCCTTGGCATCTCAACGAGCAGCATATGCAACTAAATCAAAATACATAACAGAGCTCGTAGGTGAACTCTGGATATCACTATTTCTTACATTGGCTTGAAGCTCATCATCCAGAGTCTCGGTCATATTAATGACATCATTGACATCTCCTTCCATAGAACCACTCATTTGCGCATTTGCCATATGTTTCTGACAAACTGATACTGATTGCAAGCGGCGTTCCATAATCTGAGAAAAAGTTGTCCAGATAAAAATAATGTAACAAAATTCTATATGTCACAAATCTGCGACCGTCTCTTATCATTTATTTTTTCAAATTAAGCTTGCGAACAACGACGGAAACTTTATATTTCGAACTGTAAATGTCGATTTAGTCTAAAATCAAAAATTGGGAAAATTCTTTTTGAAACAGATTTACATTATTCCACATTATGTACAGAACATCTTCTACTATTTGAACTAAGGGAAATCGACACATGTACTTGAGCAAACCCATAGAATATCTGCTGAAATATATTGTTCAAAATTT